AAAAAAAAAAAAAAAAAAAAAAAGCTTATTCATCTTTTTGAGGGATTGTAGTTATACCAAAATATTTTGGAGAGATATGTCTTTTTTTATCAAAAAATTCTTAACATTACTTTAACCCTGTAAGACCCACTGTTGCAGATTTACAAAAAATTTTGTCATCCCCCCCCAAAAAAACTTTTTTTTTTATTCTTGGTTCAACTGCATTCAACAAGGCCTGGCATCAGGTGAAGAAGTCACACAACCTCCAGATTTTTGCTTTAGCATCATCCCCTTGATTTACTGGACTGGATTTATCTAATTGAAGTACATAAAAGGCTTTCCATATTTTTTTTTGTGTTAATTACAGTGTTTACAACATGTAACTATGCAGTTATTGTGGAAAATGTGCCCTACATTTTATCTAGAGCTTGTTTTTTAATTGTTGCAAAATTACATCATTGGGTGAATGTGATAGTCAAAACAACCCTGTTTTTGAGAGGAATGTCTCATGAACTTTTCTCAATATAACTTTGAACCACACATAATTTACACATTCTAGCCCTTAGCCTTATATTGGATTATATATATTATTGAGTTAAAACCTACTATACAAGGATGTATTGCCATATCTAATCATTTTAATTTACTCATAAGGATTTCTAACCACCTTCAACACTCTATTTTCCCTTATCACAGGAGACAGGGCTTTCTAACATGTCTACAACACAACAGACATGTTGTGCATGTCAGCCCTTTGTCTTGGCTATTGATAAGGAAATGTTCCAATCAGTTCATAGTCAAAGCAGGTGTGGGGGATGCTTGGAGGGGCCATTGCATTGCATTGCTCTGGAACAGGGGTTGATGATCACGAATGTAAGGTGTGGCTGTAAGTTGGAGGGTACTTGCATTCCGATTTTGATGTATGCTGATGAAGATTCTCAGTCATCCAGGTCATACTCATTCCGTAACAGTTCAAAAAATATCCACTAGACTGGACTAAGTCCAGCGGATATTTTTTTAACTATCCTATTTCGATGATGATCAGATTTTAGAATTGGTCGGACACACAGTATTGTGTGACCAGTGAAATGTGTGAATAGGTTACTTTAGTGCAATTTGTAAACACTTCAAATCAAATCAAAAAAGTAAAACCCTGCAAATGAATCCGTATTGTTATTCAGACAATGAGTACATATACGGGAAATTCTGCTCCCCATTTGGCCCAATGTTACAACATTTCTGTAAAAACTTACTAAAACATAACATTTTTGAAAACACTTCATTTTCAGCCTGAAATGCCTCCTACAACAACATCTGAGTGGTTGAAAATGTATTTTTTATATTGTTTTTCTATATTTGGGTTTTACAGGGTTAACAGATAAGGATGGTTTTTTTGGAATGGATAAATATCATATTCACACCTCCAAATATTTACAACAAAAACCTAATTTCCAGAATAATATCTATATAGAATCATTAAAATTTAGTTTAAATGCTAAAGCCATGCAAATTATAACTGCCCTACAAGAATTATAACCCTCGAGCGTAGATTAGATTTGATTTTGACATTTTAAAATAATAGTTCTGTTCTGTAAAGCCCTATGATGTTGTGTATGTTTGTAATTATAAATGTTCTATATTGTTCATGTATGTTGTTTTTTTTGCCATAAAATAATTAAAATGTATTTAAAAAATCACTGATCTCTTTTTATTCACTGGATTGCTGATTGCCCGTTGGTAGTCGGGGGATGAAGTGAAGCCACTGGCCGCCATATTGCTACTCCCTACCTGCAATATAAACAATATGTGCGCTACAGCGTCAAACAAAGATGATGTTCTAATTTTCAAGG